GGTTAAGGCATTGTCATAGCTATACCATTTTCATTTAACCTTTTCCCCACATATTCTATTAACCCTCTGACTGCTCAATTTCTAGACCGAAATAGCTTCAAAAATTGCATTTGTAGAACCACCTTAGATGGCAATACAGGAAGCAGCACGTTTACGCACAATCAGTGAGACTATGAATGGTGTCCTGAGGAATGGATCTCCATTCCCTGAGAACCATTTGCCATAGTTTGTCTTCTGAACGTGGCAGTGGCAGGGTCTGCAAATGGTGTCCAATCACATTCCTAATGTGTTCGATTGATAAGAGATTAGGAGAGACTGGTTGCCAGAGAAGCCTCTGTACATCTTGGAACGCACATTAGCTGATGCGAGCAGAGTGTGGTTGGGTGTTATCAAGCTGATAAAGAGCATTGGGCACTCCCTGAAGGTAGGGGAATGTCATCAGCCACAGCACATCACCCACATATCGTTGGGCCATCACAGTGCCCTAAATATGAACTAGAGGTGACGTAGAATTGTATATAATTACACCCCAAGCCATGATGCCCTACTGTCACGCAGTGGGGTGTTCCACTATTGCTGCCAGATTGTACCTGTCTCCAGGTCAATGTCACATTCATATGCGGCAATTAGCATTGGAGGAACAGAAGCGTGACCCATCTTAGAACATGACCCTGTGCCATTCCATTGTCCACATTGCTTGAGCCCGGCACCATTGCAAATGTTAGCATCTATTATGTGGGGTCAATGACAGTCTTCTTAAAGGATGCCATGAGTGCAGGCCACTAACCACCAATGAACAGCAAATGGTTCTGGTCAATATGGGAACATCCAGGGTGTCTTGAACCAGGATGTTCTCATAGTGACCAGACAAACACAAAAATTGAACATTCTGCAAGTTCCTTTCTTTATATCTTCTTTAACGTGTACTGGAGAGCTGCACATTTCACAGCATTCACATTATTTGACGTGCATCTATTCTGAAATCTGCAAAATTTTTGGGCCACTCCTTCCTGGTGCTGCATTTTCAATGTAGGATAATGTATAACATAAAAATACTTCAAGAATTCTAGAACAGTGTTATTCCTGCATCAATTTAAAAAAGGCTACCTTTATATATGCATTTTCAGTGCATGCAAAATTCTGATAATCACTGGCTGATTGATGGATATAAAGTTTCAAGAGAAGAGTAAAAACAAAAATGTTTTGCTAAAACTTTAATTTTCATAAGATAACAGTAATAACAATAGACTGAACAAAATAACAAGCTGGATCAAATCATTGATTTGATCAGAGCAATTTGATCTGTTGTTATGAATTTGCAGTGCTAGCTAGCTGAATTAATTGGAACATAATTTGTTTTCCTTCTACCCTGGAGCACCAACAAAAGAAAACCAGTATATGCTACATTCGACTCCAAACATTGGTATTCGAGGTTCACATATTATGTACAGTGCTAGCTATAACATAGAATAATGCTGTCTCTCACAACCATTCGAAAGCTTAAACTGAAAATTATGCATTAGTCGGCAAGTGTTTAAAGCTGAAACAACAAGCAGGAAGATTAAATATTATTATGAGTGGATAATGAAGCTTTTCTGTAAAAACAAATTCAGCTAATCAAAACAAAAATGAATTTATGGCATACTTGTTTCCAATTGTGTATCATATTATGTATTCCTACACTATGTGAAGAGGGAAAAAAGAGAAGTTTCTTGGAAGGTCTGGATAATAGGTCATTTCAGTTACTGGATGGCTGGATTTCACACTTTAATGACTCGTGATCATAAAATACATTGTAAAATATTCTTGAAATATTATTTGAAGTTTTCAAAAATGAATTTAATTTCTCCCCATTTTATATTATTACTTTGTAATCTAGAATAAACTTTGAAAATTTGAATTTTTTTTTAAATTTTTCTTTCAAAATTTTAAGGACAAATTTTTTTTTCTTCACTTTTTTAGAAAAAATTTCTTTTAATTTTTTCTGCATGAAAGCTGCTATATTATACATAAAGAAAAGGCTACTTAAAAAGAATATTGTTTCTTAGAAAACTTCAAATTTCTTTATACATAAAATTTTTTAGCGTAGTGTATTTCAGAACAAACATTTCAATAAAGGGAAGGGAAAACAGAGCTTACATAATGTAAATGAATTTGTTACAAAATTTAAATTTTTGAATTTCTGATAAAATTCACATTAAGCCTGAACAATGTTGATAAACAGCACTTTTAATCAGATTTTTTATATATATTTGTTATGTTTTGTTTGACTAAGAGCAAGGAATAAATTTCTGAAGTGTTATTATTTTATTAAGATGCCTTATAGCTATAGAAAACATTTAATATGCTTATATGAAAATTTAAAAGTATTATTTATGAGCGTAATATTTTGGATGAAAGAGTTGAAAAGATTATTTAGAGTAATTTGAATGTGAAATTTGTGATAAAAATGCCATATGAAAATTTAAAAGTATTATTTATGAGCGTAATATTTTGGATGAAAGAGTTGAAAAGATTATTTAGAGTAATTTGAATGTGAAATTTGTGATAAAAATGCCATTTGAATTCATCAGATGCATTCAGGTTATTCAACAGATGAAGAATTTTTTAATAAACTAAGATATTTGCATCCATTTTGGTTTTAATTATTTACCAGTCAGAGGATTTTCAAAGAAATTACATTTTTCATAATTTTCATTATTCATAGCCTAAAAGTCATATTTTTATAAAATTTTGACGTTACCACTTTTAATTTAATTATCCATCTGTATTTAAATAGCATGAAATGAAACCAATTACTTTGACATCACTACATAATGCTTATTATTACTACTTAATTGCATTTATTAATAGCCGTATATTTTATATTTACTGTAAGTCACTCATGCTTCTAGAACCTATGCATGAAAAGTTTACAAAGTACTTCAATATTATGAGGGAAAAACATGTTTTACCTAACATGTTTTGAACAGCGAAAAATGCAGATCGTTACATGTAAATAACAATTTGATAAAGCAAGTAAAATGAGCAAAGTAGAGGAACTTATCTGCAGAATATACCAAATGAGTTTTCCAATGGTCAAGAAGCAATGGCTACTCCGAGCAGTACTATTTTCTTCTTAATTTCATGGTTCAAACATATATACAACTACATATTACCCAGTGCATAATTAATATGCACAGTAAAAGACATTACTGTACTTACATCCAGACATTCAAGCAAAATATCAACATTATACAATTAAAAATGGTACGTTTTCTCATATATTATAATTTTAAATAATTATTTTTATATCACAATATTAGGTATAATTCAGCTTCAGAGATACTTGTTCTGAGTCTTTGGACCATTACAATCAACTTTTCTATCACTCGCAAAAGTAAGTGCAAGAATGATTTCTAACCTTCTCCAGCCAGCAGTTAAATACTATTCCCACTTAATCCCGTGCCCCTCACATCATCCAGAATTCATTGAAGAACTGAAAAATGTGGGGATGGTCATAATGTTCTGGCTTGTCAGTGTAAGTAGGGCAGTTTGGGGGGTTTTTACAGTTATTTAAAACATGATTTATAATGAATGAAACAGGGCATAATTTTTTAAATAATTACAAAATAAATTTTTTATGTGGTCAGGGCTCGTCAGTGTAAGTAGGACAGATTGGGGTTTTTTTACAGTTATTTAAAACATGATTTATAATGAATGAGACAGGATATAATTATTTAAATAATTGCAAAATTAACTTTTTATGTGGTCAGGGTATAAATACCCTAAAATAGCCTATATAGTGATGTTATATAAAGAAAACAATATTATGACTATTAGTACTGGGGGGATATGGAACAGAACAATGAGAAATAGTAAAAAGACTTCTGATGACTTGAAATGATCAACAAGAGTACATGTAGCTAACTAAAAAAAAAAAAAAAAAAAAAAAAAAAAAAAGGATCAATTTCAACTCCTTTCAGCTGTTTAAAGATGTTATATTTAATTAGCTGATAAAGGTTCTTATGCAAAATTTAGCATTTCTAAACCTGATACTATGCAAGGAGTTACCTAAATTCTAATAAAATTGCCAATCATACTTATTATTTTTCATTAAAAGTATTAATTTATACATCTTATATAATAATTAACTTATATCTCTTATAAATCATTCTTATATCTTATAAAATTATATTTTGCTATTTATTCCCTGTTTTCTCGTCAATTTAACTCACATATAAATGCATAACATATACAAAGTAATTCAACTATTTATTCTCATGCTTTGGATAACTCATATTCAACATTATAAATAATTCTCTTCCATTTCAAGAATTTAATATATATATTATATATATATAATATATATATATATATATATACAAAAATAAAAATAAATAAATAAATAAAAACTGCAGTTATTTTAATCCTTGAGTAAGCATGCTAAAAAATATTACATAAACAGGTACATGGTAAGTGGAAGAATGCACTAACAGCTTTTACCACTTAAAATAAATCTATTTATAAACAAAGAAAGTATACCAAAACTGTAAAGAGAGCAATGTCTTAACTGATTAGAAATTGTTCCGACTTGCTTGCTCGAGGATTATTATTATAATTTTACATCAGAAAAACACATTATTACATATAAATATTAAAGAATAATATCATATTTATAATAAAGTATTAAAGGTTCTGAAAAATAATTTATTCTATGAAACCAGATCAGTATCCATAGGATAAATAATACCTTAAAGATCTGCATATATTTAAATGTTCCTTTTCTACTTAATACTGTTGACGTGAATATTTTATAGAATAATATACTTATAAAATTAATCGAAATACACAATCAAACACAAGATGAATAGAAATAAAAGTTTAAATACAAACTCATTTCTCAAGCTATGTATGTTTTTCTTCTAGTTTTATTTAACTACCAAATTTTTATAATTAAACACAATATTTTTCCGATAATGACTTATTTAATCACACTTTTAAATGAACCACAAAGTTACATCAGATTCCCAGTTTAATTATCACATCACTAAATTGTGATCACAAATCAATTTCACATTATGTAAAATAATGGATGCATAATATATCACAAGGTGGTGGGAAGAAACCAGTGTATGCTGAATGTCAGTAAGAACAATTTAATGATTTTTCTTTCATGTTTCTTATTAAAAAAAAAAACATAACATTATTCACAAGCTTTTCACAGTTAAAATAAGGAGCATAATTTTCCAACTAAAATGATTTATCCAATTACCCTATTAAACAAATATCAAGTCTTCTTTGAATTTACAGTTTTATATTCACACCAAGGAGTAAGAGTATGATTACAAATCAGCTTCACATTATGCAAAATAATGGGTGCATTATCTATCACAAGGTGATGTGTTGATACCAATTCATATTGTACATTACTAAGGCCAGTGAAACGATCTCTCTTCCTTGTTGCTTCTTTCTGATTAAAAAGTCGAGCAGTATCTCTTTTTCGAGTTGCATTATCATGAAGATGTCTGAATGTGTTGCGCACACCAGTGTTTATATTCTTAGGACGGCTGATATTAAACTTTGCTTCCTTCATTCTAGCATAAAATTCATCATCTTCTAAACCCCAACCCCAATATTTGTTTGATAAACCATTAACAAGTTCAAATTGTGTTTTTGTAAGAAGAAGAATACCACCAACAAATGTAGAATAATGGTATTTGGGATGAAATTTTGGCGAAGCCACATGAAACGGTCCATTTTCAGGGAAAGCATAACTCAACTTGGGATTTAATGGCAAAAGATCAACATCGTGCATAACCAAGTAATCACATTCCTGACTGCTCAAAAGGTAGCCGACATTTATTAAAGATGCGCGATTGAAACGCAGTTTATCTACTTGATTAATTACATATATAGTATGTGTAATCTTCTGTGCGTTCAGAAATTTATGAATATGAGGCGCAAACTGTAGCAGCTCTTCAAATCTGTCTCTAAATGGTACAATGACAGCAAGTCGATGTGTATTCCAAGATAATTCATCATCATGCTCAGATCTGGAATAATCTTGCGAACAGTTTGATATGGTCGATAATGCTAATAAAATTGAGATCATAACTGAAGAAGCTAGCAAAAACATAAGACCACCAACCAGTCTTTTAGTGGATATCATAATTTATATTGAATTAAAAAGATCATATATCAAAGTTATTTACGGGGTACTGTTATAAATATATTAAAAGTTTACATAGAGAATATAAATTTAACATTTTTAAAACGTTAAATATCAAATACCGTAGTAAACAAACACATATTCACATGAACGGTACGTATACACATACTTACATTCACATACACGCATGTAAAAAAAAACAAACATTAGAAGTTGTTGAAGTTCTTTCACAGCAACAAAAACGAGACGATCGAATGTATGCATGAAATTTTGCATGTAGACTAACTATTGGTTTAAAAGTATTAAGGATTTCTTATATTCAATTACAAACTTTACGTTTTAACACCGAAAACAATTTTAAATGTATGCGCTGAAATATTTTATAAAATTACTTTCATTAGATAACATTTATTTGTTTTTTGGCACCGGAAGCGATATAGTTTGAACATCCGACTAAGTATATAAAATAGTAAACAAGCGCATGTATTGACGATGTCGTGTAAAGATTTTAGTTCAATGTTTATTAGAATGTTTGGGTCATTTTTATATTTAATTCTGTTTTAGCTGTGCTTTTGCTGCAACATGTCAGTATCTCATCCTTTGCTAAAACAGTTAAAAGGTGATTTTTTTTAAACGTAATGTTTTCTTTTATAACTTTTTCAAATAATTTGGCAAACTTTTTTTGGTGGTTAGTTTAAGAAAAACGGAGCTCCATGTATATCTTGTTAAGGCGAAGATAATGTTTTTTTTTTTTCATAATACATTCATGTTGAAGCGAAGCTAATGTAGCTAGAATTCGTTCATAAAGTGAAATTAATTGGGAATTCTGGAGAACTTACTAATATAATTTGCAGAGTTTGGGCTATTTTTTGTGTTTTAAATACATTATTGGGTTAAGTGCAGAATCGCCCACTTATTTGTTTGGCGTTTTTTACAAAGTAAGATCAACTTTCTTTGACTTTTTAAGTGAAAAATAGGTCGATGTGTACATGGATAAAGTCAAGGGAGTGCGCAATGCCATTTTTATGCAATTCTGGGATGTTTTTTTTAAGTGAAAAATTGGTGGTTGTGTACATGCATACCAAGTATGTGCAATTCTTAAAAACGCGCCAAGCAGTGGGTGATTCTGCACTTTTCCCATATTATTTAACTTACTAGGTCACTGTGGAATAAATATTGCAGTTGTACCATTTCAGTATCCGATGTTAGTTTTAAAAGTACTATAAAAACCTTTGAACTATCATAGTGTACTTGATACATAACATATAGACAAAACTTTGGAAAACATATGTTTTTCTGTTTTCTGGAGCATATCGTATAAATGGAGGTTACTAACAATTATTCTTTTAACTCTGGAATTCTTATCATGCCTTTAAAATCCAAGTTTAAAAATTGCAGTACTCTAATGAAGTGTTTAATTTTGCTGCACTGACATATATCATTATTTAATTACAGAAAAAAGTTAAATATTCTTTATATTTTTGTTAACATGCTTCTAATTAGAGTACACTAGCACTTGTAGCTTTCAGGAATAATTTAATCTGTTAGAAAAATATGAAATTTTACAATTCATAATATTTCTTATATTTATTATGCATAGTACTCCTGAAAGGTAACTACAGATTTTATTTCCATAACTTTGCCCCTAGATTTGTACTTCCAATTACAGTACTTCATACAATCAATTTTAAAAGAATTTTTGAGAACTGTTCAGTAAAAATATATTTACGGGTGCCTATTGGCAATAATTGATGATTTTTGGCGGTACATGGACACCAAGTTTGTGCAGTTCTTTGACTTGTTATTTTGTCTTTGTGTAACGGCAATTTTTGCGCCAAAGATCGCTGCTATACAAGTCCAAAGTAACTAGTCAAAGAATTGCACAAATTTAGTATCCAGGTACACATCGACGTATTTTCACTTAAAAAAAATTAGAGAATTGCACAAACTAGGCATTGCGCACTCCCTTTGTCCCATGTACGCATCGATCAATATTCACTTAAAAAGTCAAAGGAGCAGTCAACAAAAAATATATAATCTCAACAAACTACATTTTAAATCAAACAATGAAATAACATAAAAAAGGAAATTCATCTTAGCACTACACAAAGGAAATATCCACTTACCTTATTTACAAATTTCCCTGTCTTCAGTCAAACAAAATTCCTTACAGCATAAAAAGACTTCCTAAAATTATCTGAACTAGGATCTGTATACTGGCATCGCCACATAAATTCACAAAAATAAGAGTAAAAAATATCCTCCATAGTGCAGGTATCCTCTAACGTTCAACCATACGCATTTCCTTCTTACAAACAGGGCACTTATAATGGCAACTACGTAAACCTTCATTTACACACCAGCCAATCAATGCTTTTTTTCCCATTCGTTCCAAATCGTACAGAAATTTCAAATTAATATTACAACATTCAGTCATTTTACTGTGTAAACCACAAAATAACAATGTACTTCTTATCCAAACTCTGTCCCGTAATTTAAATTGACCTCAATCACGCAGCCAATTACTTTGTGATAGGGTTTTCCATAATATTAAACTACTCAGGTTACCATAAATGAAACAACAACTTTGTGATAATCCAAGGGGCATCCTTCAATCAACTAACCAATTGTTCCAACAGTGTGAATGAGAAAGTTACCTAAATATTATCTGGCTGTAATTATATTCATCATTCCTTGATATATGCTTGTTACTGATGTACTATTTATTATTTCTTTTATATTAAAGTAATTTATAAAACAAAAAGGTTTATAATTTTCATATGTATTTGAATGCAGTCAAAAGTTGTTAATTCGGACCCCCATAATCCGGACCTCAAGGCTACAAACTTTCTGGGTTGATCTTTACAATATGGTAACTGGTAGTTAGGCGAAATTTTGGAGGCGATAAAGGTTACTACCTGGGACTTTGGTAATAATGTGAGCAGTACTCAGTTCCGATTACGCATTATTTTGTGTGAGGGAAATGAGAGATCATGGGATATGTCATGTGATATTAATGGACGAATTAAGGTTCTTTAATCGGAAAAGGGGGGAATTGGGAAAAAATGGGAAATTTTGTATTGGCTTTATCTTGTTGTGTGAAACAGTGTTCGTGAATTTTGGATCTCATGGCCGTAACAAAGTGAATTCGAAAGGGATTTAGTGGTTTGAAAAGGGTAGTCATAAAGTTTTTTTTTAAGGTTGTGCGAGATAGGAATAAAGATGTTTTTAAGTTATTTATTTTACTGGTACCTTGCTGTGAAATAGAAGCATGATTTTAAGATCCTGAAACGAAAGAAGAAAGTTTACGGCACGTAATCAGATTTGAAGAAGATTACGTAAGTTCGTATTTTAATTATTGGATATATTTTATGCTTGTTTCTGTAAGGGGGAGGAATTGGATTATTGGGAAAATGTCTTAGCAATGATTAGTTAAAAGTAATTAGGTGGAAGGTAATTTTTATTAATTATGTGCTTCTTTTATTTTAAGTAGTGGTTTTGAATTTAATTATATTTTACTTAAATGATAGGTTATTTTGTGAATTTATGTTTGTAGGAATTTGGTATACGTTTAAGTTGAAGTCAACGTACATGGAAATATTTAAATATTTGACACTAAGTATTTGAATGCTTGCGGTATGAATTCGTTGGTGATGTGTATAATGTAATAGATAATTTAGAGGTAAAAGTTTTTGGATATTTTATTTATTTTATATGTGGAAATTTCATATTTGGAAAGGGTAAATACTTTTCGCAATAAGGTAATTTCATATATGTTCTTTTTACGGGTTTAAAGATTGAGAAAATGTCATGTATTTTCGTGAAATTTTTCTAATTTATGAAAAAAAGCAGTGTACATGGATATAGTGAAGAGTGTGCGCAATGCCATTTTTGTGCAATTCTGGGATTTTTTTTAAGTAAAAATAAGTCGGCGTGTCATGGTTATGTGTATGTGTTATTTGAAAAACGCGTAGGAGTATGGTATTGTGCACTTTTTTCCCAATTTTGCGTGAATACTTGTCATGATTAAGCAGTTTTGTTAGATAAAATTTCTAGCATAAGTGTAATTCGGCTAGTAGATTGTTGGAAGTGTTCAGTAGATAAAAAGAAAAGAAACATGTCTTTACTTCGTGAAGACAAAATGGCGGCGGGAAAAAAAAATAGAGGGTTGCTGTAGGAGGGTTGGTCGCCAAATTTTCGCCAAAAAAACGCCAAGTTACCATAATGTAAAGATCAACCACTTTCTGCGCATGCGTCTGACGACTGCGAATTTGCGTGTGCGCGTGCACAAAATACGTTTACGAATGCGCGTTTGATGTATAACGGACGGTATTATCTATTTCAGTTAATGTTGCAGATTGCGTTGTTCCTTAATCTTTGAATTGGATCCAGCTTATTATTTTTTGCAGACTGTTAGAGCAATTTTATAAAAGTAAGCTTGAACTTTCAATTATGTCAAATAGAATTTCCAATTTATATTTACTAATATGTAACGGATCTACAAATCGAAAGAATGTTTCGGAGTCCATTAAACAAAAAGTGGAATTGCTGCAAAAAATGAATAAAGGCATATCCTTTGTTTATCTAAACTTTGTTTAGCTTTAACGCCGCGGCGCGCGCAGTTAATTGGAAGTTGATCTGTCAGCACTATCCTTATCTTCAGGGCAGATGTTTTTATTTTATTTGGCTTATAACTGCTTACTAAATGTGGTATTTCATTTCGATGTACTCCATCTTTGATATGATTTAAATCAAATGCCTCGTCATTATAATTCGCTTCGGATAGCGAAGAAAGTGACAGAGGTTATTGAAAAGGAAAATAATTTCGATTGACAAATTAGTCAGGATTCTCGACACAGCAATTATAGGACTTGAACAGCGGAACTTTGTAACTGTACAAGAAATTATGTCTGTTTATAGAATTAAAGAGAATGTATTATCGCATAAAAAACGAAACAACTTACATTGAAAGAAATGTTTAGTAAAGTAAACAAATAAATATTAAGCTTTTTTTTTTGTAAATTTTGATACACTTTAGATCATAATTGTTCTTTATTTCATAAATTACGGTTTCATATTTTTAATTTTATAATTTCTGCATGCCATTTTACCATATTTAAACTGATGATCTATAATCCGGAATCGCCGAAGTCCCGACGAGCCCGGATTAACGACTTTTGACTGTACTTGGAAGTTAATACAGAAAGCCCCCTTTTTTTAATTCAAAATTTTGCCATTTCTGATGTTAGAAACATCTTTTATGAAGTCGGCAAGTAATTTTTTTTTGACTTTACTTAATGTTATTCCATGATACACTTTATCATCATATTGCATGTTAAATGCCTTTGTAAGATACATGAAATCTGTAATTTTTGGTGTGAAACTTCAACTGAAGTTTCTGCATATCAGCCAATCTCTTCTGTAACAATAAAAACGATCCTAAAAATGGAAAAACACTCCATAATATGATAAAAGGAAGTTTAGTTTCTGTGAATAAAAAAGGATTAATTATAAGGCCTGTTAAAAATATCCTTTTTGCCATGATCTTGTAATCTCTACCAAAGCAGAACCTTCATTTCTTACAAAAAATCATAAGTATATGGTAATGAAACATATCAGTGACATTTTAGATGAAATTTTCAAAGTGCTGTCTATTCTATAGAGCAGTGGTTCTCAACCTTTTGACTAGCGCAAACCATCTAAAAAAAAATTAAAAAGCTTTAGTACCATGACTATATTTTACAATGATTATTTTCAGTTTCTCAATAGGAATATTAAAAAAAAAATTGCTATTTGCATTAAATGTGCACACATAAAGAAATCTTAGATTAAAAATTGGTTACCATTTTAATTATCAAAATTTAAGTTATAATATTTAATTCTAAAATTTATGGATAAATTTGGTGCCTGTTTAAGAGAGATCAACTTCTTTATGTCTGGTCATATTTTACTTCGCTTTAACCGTAAATTAGGATCCACTTTTAATTTTCTGTATTTTTTTTTTTTTTTTCCAAATATAACATGGAAGAAAATTCATGTTCACACAAATAGGTTGTGCAATAGGGAATAAAATAAACACAAATAGGGAATAAAAATTTAATAGCTTTATTTGAAATGCCTTTAAATTCTTTTTTTCGGTTCAGCCAAAAGTTAACAAGTGTGTTATTTTTGAAATCTTCAGTTGGAGTTTGATCACAGAAAATTTTTATCAATTGTTCTTCTTCTTTATGGTATTCTTGAATTTAATAGTTAAAATTCCTTTTTTTACTTACTTTGTTTCTTTGCATACCACCTATTTTTCTTTTGCATACTACCAGTGGTACGTATACCACCGATTGAGAATCTTTGCTATAGAGTCAATCCTTGTTAAACCATCATCCCCCCAGACCAGTCAAAAATGACATTATGAGCTGGGTAACAATAAATGCGGGTTAACAAAGTTTTTCTTTTTAACCAAGGCTAAATGTTCTAGAAACAAAATAGGGCATATATATGCTTAATGCTTCTGATTATTCTTAAAAATATATTCCTTCAAATATTATTTCTAAATGCTCACTACAGTGCTACTTAGGAAAATAATTGCATTATACAGATCAAGAAATAAACTCAAAAAATTAGTTACTATGTTATTTAAAAAAATCTTTGATGGATGTTTGTTACATTTCACAGTTTTTTCAATTTTTCCACTGTTGCAAAATTTTTGTTTTCCATTTTTAGCAAGAAATTAAAAATCTTTTATCAGTATTTATTGCATTTATAACATCTTTATACATCATCATTTGATCCAGTTCATCATAACTTTCATCAGTGAACTCGGGACAGTTTAAATTTTTTATTTCAGAAACAATATTTGGCACTGAAATTTCATCAAAGTTCTTAATTACTTCACTGTCCACAGATATATTCATCCAAATCAATTTCTATATCATGTTTTTTTTAGTTCATGCCCAGAGTCTAATAAGGAGACATTATCGTCACTTTCACTGTCTTCAAGATTGGTTCTGAAAAATTTATTTTGAAATGTGCATGTCTGAAACAATTTTGATATAGATCATGCTCCACCTTTTCGCTATGTAGAAAATCACATCATAGTAACAGAAAAGGAGGATTTGTCATAAAGGAGCAATTGTAATATCCTTGAGAAGTATTCTATAGTTTAAAATTATGAATAATCCCTTGGTCTGTAACTTGTAATACATTTGTCATATTTGATGGTAGGTAGATTTTTATGGCTTCTGAATTGCTTCCTCTGGTGTAAGCTGCCCAGTTGTTAATAACTAAAGCTATTTTTCTACCTTTATGTGAAAATTTTGCGTCTAAATTCTGGGTCATCTTTTCCCATGCTTCTGCAGTCATCTAAACTGTGGAGTTGGCATCATAGCTTAGTAGCAAAAATTTTATGGCATTAAAGCACTGGGATTTTTAGTTTTCCTATGGCAGTAGGTTTCAGCTTCTCACTGCCATCCGTGCTAGATCCCAGCAAAACAGTCAGTCTTTCGTCACTCTTCCCCCTCCCAATGAATTTTCTTTCTTGAAGAAGGTTTTATTGGACAAGATTCTGTAAAACAACCCACTTTCTCCACAATAAAAGTGTCACTTGGACCACATTGTTTGCATATTTCTTTTATCACTGTATTTTTCTAGTTCAGAAAAACCTCTGGATCAACATCAGATGCCTCTCCCATGATTTTTTAAATGATAAGTCGTACCTTTTCAGCCTTTCCAACTGTCTATTACTAAAACTGTAAAGTTTTCTTCTCTGAGTTCAGCAGCAATTTCGAGATTTTTTTCCTTTCAGAATTAAAGTGGAAATTACATTTTGTATTTTGGCTTATTTTATCCAGATGATTAGAGCTTCCTCAATTTCGTCATAAGGAGACAACTGTCTTTTTCTTTTTTATTATTATTACCATGTACACTGTCATTTGGCAATAAAATATCATATAATGATGTTTGAGGAATTCCATAAGTTTTTGCAAAGACAGCTTTTGATTGATTTGATTTTTCAAAATCTTTGATAATTTTCTTTTCCTTCTGAAAATGCTAAAAATTTTATATTATTCTGACATGCTACTGAAAAGTATGAGTGTTCAAATGTCTGTTTTGAAGCTAAAGACAACCAGGAATGACTGGGAAAAACTTGAATACATGTACCAAGAACTGTTATCTGTTTATTTTCCCACAAATGCCAAACAGACATAAAGGTGTACACAATTATTGTGTGAATGAGTGGAAGAAGGAAGGTGGAATCACAGCACACTTTAATCTTTTTTTTTTTTTTTAAGTCTGAAATGACCTTGACCTAAACTGGAAAAAGAACTAAACTGACTGTTCATAGGATATGACACTTTTAACTTTTATAGCACTTTTAACACACACTAGCAGTTTATCAGTTTTTTTTTTAACCATAAATTTACTATTCATTTGGTTAGGACTTTGCAAAACTGATGGTTTAACCCAGTGAGTTTAATGAAAGTTTAGTGTACTTTTATTGATGTTTAGCTTGTATAAAAATTTGTATTTGTGTATATCTTTGGTGATTTTAGATGTTTAACATATGTGTAACTGTAGATAAGTGATTGGGAATTCTTTTAATCTTGTTAAGGTTTAAGTTATACTAATGTTAAATCTCATGTTCATGCCAATACTTGTATCAAAACCTTGCTTAGGTATTACAGTCACTTTAGTTTTTTTTTTTTTTTTAAATATATCATATTGTGCTGTAATTGTCATTTAAGTTATAATAAATTACATTTACTTTGAATACTAATAAGCTTCAAAAATACAAAATACTGTATAATTATTTCTTATCTTAACAGAAGTGTAAAACATTTATTGTTATTTATGTATTAACCTGTCGACGAACCAAGTAGCATGATTTAGGGCCAGTTATGGATGATCACTTCATTAGAGTTCCACAGTAATGACTGGTAGTTGGCAAATGTTGCCAGAAGTCGACAAGATAATGCGCAAGTACAAAATGTTTTTTTCAAAAGACTTATTTTTATCCTTTATTTAATATAGGAAATATCTATGATCTTAGAAAGCATCTCAATAAAGAAGAGATTCAAGATTTTCATCCAAACCTTTTACCCTTATGTCAAACCTTGGAAGAAATTTTCAGGAAAGGATTAAAAAGTAAGTCCTCAATTTTTCTTTACGTATCCTTTTAAATTTAGTCTTTTCTCTTATTTATATGTTAATATCATTATCATGTGTTAATGATGTCAATTATTGATATTGTTTTCAGTTATTAAATCAGTTTTATTATGTTTATACTTATATAACAAGAATATATTCCAACTTTGGTTAAGGCCTTATAACTAGAAACTTATTTCATATACAGTAAACGCATTGGGACCAAAATGTGTCTCTGAATGAAAGGTGTCCTTAATTAAGATTATTAAAAAATATTAATATTCTGTTACAAAGAATTAAAATTTTTTCTTTAATAATGAACATAAAAATATTTCTCCAATTTTTAAAATTTATGTGAAAAATTTTAAACTTTTCTTGTGGCATTTTATATTTACAGTATGATTTTCAAAGTAAACTTCTAACTCAGAAATTATGAAGTTTTCACTATCATTATTATGAATACAAAATACATTTAAGATATTTAGCATATTGTGTTCTCCTCTAAAACTAGATTATGGAAGATCTGAATTAATACATTACTCATAATTTTTTAAAAAATTTGATTCTTTTTCAAAATCAATATGGTTTCTTTACTATTTCTGAATTTATCATATTATGTAGATGTCATCTAATTAAAATATACTTAGAAGCTGAAACAATGTTAAGGCTGAGTGTATTTATCAATAGTTGTAAATGAATTTCAGATTTATTATTAATTTCAGTAGTAAATGCTGCAATACATTGATTAAAATTAGTTTTTGTTATACAGTTTATTATTATTTTCTGCATAACTTCCATCCAGGCAATAGTATTAATCCATTAGACTTCTTTTTCTATTTCTGTTGCAGATGTCAAAGATTTTGTTTTTACAAGTGTTGATTTGTTGATTCTAAAATTAATTTCCTATAAGATGCTTTAAATGAGGAAACAGTATTTTGATCTGAAGGCTGTGTTAAAGATGTATTGGGGGAGGAGAAAAAGATTTTCACATATTCTGGGTGCAGAACAAGATGAAAAATTGCATTAAACAACACTATGTTCATTTTATTTATTTATTATTTTTTATTCAGTTGAACTAACTAATCAATTAGTTGCTTTTCAGTCATCCATGCTTTTCAATTAAATTCCTACTGACTTAAAATTTTGACGAGTCAAAATTTTTAAAGGAGCAGGGTCAAGATGCATTGCCTACCACAAGTGGTTTCTTTTTTTCTTCAGCTGTAGTAAGAGTTAATAACATTTTAGAAAATTTCTTACCTTTATATATTTCTTTTAAGCAAAGTGATTTTTCTGGAAGCGCATGAAAGAACAGAGCATTGTAATTATCGTTTTCAGAATATCCTTCTACCAATAAACCAATCCATTGTTTTCTTTGTACACATGCTTCAACATTAACATCTGCAGATTTGTTGGAAAGCATTCTAAAATTAATGTCATGATGGCTGCTTTAAAATTGCATTGTAAATATCCTTCTATCAATAAACCAATCCATTGTTTTCTTTGAACGCATGCTTCAACATTGACATCTGCAGATTTGTTGAAAGCACTCTAAAAGTAATGTCATGATGTCTGCATTTTTCAAGCCATTTCTTATATGCTTTAAAATTTTGGTAATCGAGTTCTAAAGTAGTTAATTAAAGAAAAAGCTTGAGAAGCAATTTTGGAGTATTTTCTTCTTGCCATTAGGTAAGAGTTAATTTTCTGTTTTTATTTTAATTTTCAGACCATTTTTCAATAATTTTTGATTTTATTGTCAAGTGTTTCAAATCAGAGTTCAGCTAGCACGTAAGTTATATAGCAGATATCCAGTGGCAGCTCAAGTCAAATGGAGGCCTCAAGTTATAAAAAGTTTGGGGCCCTCAAGTTAGAAATTTAAGTTAACTCAAGGTCAACTTTAAGTCAACAAATTAGAAATATAAGTTGTAAGAAAATTCTCATAAACTTATTAACTAAAAAGAAATATAATAAAAAATTTTATCCTATTACACATTAAATTCATTTTTTATAAAAGTACTTTTACATGAATTTCTGTCTTGTTTTATTTCTTACAAAATCATCAGTTATTTTTGTCAGTCTCAATGTGGCTTAAAATTTCCTGCTTTGTATGCAAAATGGCCAAGCTATTTTGCCTTTCTTCTCCTACTGTATTTCCTTAGATAATTTTTTACTCTCTTTAAAACAGGAAATGATCTTTCTGCAGATGCATTATATAAAAGAATTATTAGAAAAGTCTTCAGTAATATTTCAATATTCAGAAATGTGCAAATTTACTGAGTCATCATTTCTTTGATGACTCAGTAAATGTTATATATGCTGACACCACTATGACATGAGAAAGTTAAGATGTTTAGATCATCTGATGTTGTTTTTATGGTGTCCTTGTTTTCTTTTAGAAATATTAAAATATGGTCCAATTCATCTTCCAAAGTACAGACATCAATGTCATTTTTGTACATATTCTTCAACTTTCTTAATGCTTTCTTCTATTGACAGTTTCCAATAAAAAAAGCGTACAAAAAGGTTCTAGGACAACTTCATATTTCTGAGCTCTTTGAGACTGTTGTGTCTTGGTGTTATCACATATGACAAAGTGAGTTGACTTTAGTCAATGAATGAAATTGTCAGTGAATTTCTGTCAATGATTGGAAATTTTCTCTAATTGTGAATTTATATCTGACTTTTTTATTTTCATGAAAAAAATTGTTTTTCTGTCATTGTCTGAGTTTTTTCATCTTTCACACTAAATGATAACCCTGATAAATCAGTTGCCTATCTTTCAACTTTTTTTGTACAGTCAAAAGTCGTTAATTCGGACACCCATAATCCAGTATGATCTATAATCCGGACCTTAAAGTTACAAACTTTCTGCGCATGCATCGCCTTGATGCATGCGCGTAAGACTTTTACGGCTGCGAATGTTGGCAGTGGTGATGATAAAGGCAAAGCATATTTTGCTTCCCTTAAATAAAGCTAAGACTAATCTAAATAAAATTCATGCTTTATTCCGTAAATTAAAATAAAAGAGCTAACACTATAGCCTTTACATTTAAAATCATTTGATTGAAAGCAAACTAACATTATGCTAACTCATAATAACACAAGAGAACAAGACATTCGCCGATACCGACGTACATATATATAATACTCGGCCAACCCGCCGATCTTGACGTCATCGGCCAATTAGCAGCAACCACGTTAGCTTACCGCCGATTGACCTCCGATCAAAATTTGCATGTGGAAAACTAAAGCCAACAAACGGCCCTCTTTTCCCTCATGCAAATACAAAAAGAAAACTTACACAGAATTACAGAAGTTCATAGTTCAATTCTATTATACGAAAACACTTATTGTCTTTAAACACTGAAAACATCTAAACAAAACTTTCTTAAATTAACAGCAGTCGCTGCTTTTGTAAATAAGTCCAGCAGTATTTAATTTACTGGTGATAAATTCAAGGTCAAACACTCCATCATTTACTAGTCTTCTAACAAAGTGATATTTTACGTCTATGTGCTTAGTTCGGCGATTTTCTATTGGCGATCTAGAAAAATCAATGGCAGACTTGTTATCACAAAATAGTTTTTACACTCTCTTAAATTAAACTTTAAAATTTCATCTTGTAAGACATTTTTCGTCCACATTAATTCCTTCGCTGCTTCAGATAAGGCTATATACTCCCTGCTTCCATGGTTGATAAACTTACACATTTTTGTTTAACAGTTTTCCAGATTACCGGTACTTCATCTAAATATAATATAAATCCTCCCATGGACACGCGGTTATCTCTATTACTTTGCATAATCAGCATCTGAATAACAATATAAATTTAGATGTTTAATCTTCGATAAGTTTAACTTATATAATTTAGTACTATTGAGATAACCAAGCAATTTCAACAATGCTTCCCAATGCCTAATTCCAGGATTCTCCTGAAATTGTGATAAGATATTCACTGCATATGTAATATCAGGCCTTGTCCTGTTAGCTACAAAAACTAAACATCCCTAACAGATTTCTAAAGGGTAATGTATGCATTTCCGCAATTTCTGCACTTGTAGATGGACAATCTAATTTGTAAGAATATGCCTTTAGCTATGGGAAGTGAAGTTATTGGTATCTGGAAATGTTTAAATTTTTCAAAATTTCTTCTATATATTTTTGCTGATGTATAAAAACCCCATTCTCATTCTCTAAGAATTCAATTCCAAGTAACGTTTTAGTTTTGCCTAATACTTTAAGATCAAAAAACTTACTCAGCTGTGAAATTACTTTATCTATATTGATCTTTACTAAAAATCACAATATCATCTACATATAACAAGAGAATTACATTTGAACCTTATAAACACACAATTACACCATTGTATTTTCTTAAAATGTAGATTTTTTCTAAAGTATACTTTCAAATTCACAAAACCATTCACATGGCCGCTTTGATGTAGACCGTAAATGGCCTTGTGTAATAAACACACTTTATTTTCCTCTTCAATAAATCCCTCTGGTTGGGTCATATATATTTTCTCATTTAGGTTTGCATATAAATATGCGTTCTTTACATCTAACTGACAATTAGTCCATCCATATAAACATACCAGGTATAGTGAAAAATATTCTTATGATTGAAAAATTTACTACAGGACTGTAAACGTCATCAAAATCTTCACCTCTTTTCTGCCTGAATCCCTGTGCTACTAAACGTGCTTTGTATCTAACCACTTGATTCTTTTCATTTCTTTTTAGCGTATAGACCCATTTGTTTCCTAGCATAGTTTTATTTTCTGGCTTTTCGACTAATTCCCAAACCTTTCTTTTCTTCATTGTGTCAATTTCTTCTTTCATTGCCTTATCCCATTCTTCGGCATTTACTGATTTTCGTGCTTCTTTAAAATTTTGTGGGATAACAATTTCTACGGAATTTGCCTCTTCAGACACGGAGCTAGTCTCCTGTTCTACAAAATTAACTTTCCCCGAGTATTCGTTTTTTCCACTAAAATCAAACT